GCGGGTCTCGAACCCGCGGGCTCCGGCAATCCACTCACCTCAGCCTCCCAAAGCGCGGGATTACAGGCTGAACCACCGAGTCCGGCTTTTTTTTTTTTTAAGAAAGCAAGAATTATTGAGAGGACAGAAGAGCTCCCACAGTGAGAGAGGACCCGGAGGGGTTGCCTGCATTTTTTAAGATAGGTTTCTGAGATGTGGTCAAGGTTGCAGGGAGTACTTGGTCCTGCTATGAAGAGTCCATACCTGACTGCGTGACTGAGTTTGGGCCAATCAGCCAACACCCTGAGTCATGTTGGAGCCACACATTCTGAAACTGTCTTGAGAAGACTGTGGGTGTAGTCCTAACCTGCTTCTTATATGCGGGAGAAGCTTGCCTCAGGTGGCAATGTCTAGAGAGAAATGAAATTACTTATATTTGACCAATGTCAAACTACTTATATTTGACCAATGTCAAACTACAAAAGCAGCAGTTTCATGTGGTTCAACCTAAAACTTCTCAGGGTCGCCCAGGTAAAAAACGACTCAGCTGGGAATCCATGCATTTTCACTAACTCTGCAGCCTTCCTCTGACCTTAGCTATGGCTTGGTTAATGATTTCTCTACCTAAGAAATCAGGTAACACATTTACAATCGGTGAAGGCATGTAGAGGACCATGAGAGGAAAGTTCTGTTTGAACTTTGGCTAAAAGAGACGTCAGATTGTGGGATCATATAGCAGAAAATTTCTGTGAGAAACTACAGGTCCTCTTCCTGTTGTGATCTCACTTCTACCTTATGTTTTTGGTCCTTTATGAAAGCCTGTGTCTTGCTTTTTTCTGTCTTTTTTTTTAAGTGAGAAAGCAGGATTTATTGAGAGGACAGAAAAGCTCCCACAGTGGGAGGGGACCTGAAGAGGTTGCCCCTGTCTTTTTTTCTTTTTTTTTTGAGAGTCTCACTGTGTCACTCAAGCTGGAGTGCAGTGGTGCAATCATAGCTCACTGCAGCCTTGAACTCCTGCATTCAAGCTATCCTCCTGTCTCTGTCTCCTGAGTAGCTGGGACTACAGGCACACACCACCATGCCCTGCTGGTGTTTTTATTGTTTGTAGAGGCAGGGTCTTGCTCTGTTGCCCAGGCTGGTCTTGAACTCCTGGCATCAAGCTGTCCCCCGACCTTGGCCTCCCAAATGCTAGGATTACAGGCATGAGCCACTGTGCCTGGCCAAAGACTGTACCTTTTTTTGTTTTCTGTTTTTTGAGTTGGAGTCTCACTCTGTCGCCCAGACTGGAGTGCAGTGGCTGCTCCCGGCCACCGCAACCTCGACTGCTGGGCTCCAGCGATCCTTCCGCCTCAGCCTTCCGAGTAGCCGGAATTACAGGCATGCGCTACCACGCCCAGCTAATTTTTTGATTTATTGTAAAAATGAGGTCTCCCCTGCCTAGGCGGGTCTCTAACCCGCGGGCTCAGGCAATCCACTCACCTCAGCCTCCCAAAGGCGTGGGATTACAGGCTGAGCCACCGAGCCCGGCTAGACTGTACCTTTTGATGCTTCGTGGATGAGAGGATTTTGTTTTTAGGTAGCAGCATTCAGGGCCTTGGTCTTACCCTTCTCCTCCTCTGTCTCCCGACAGCTGATGCTTATGGCTGTTCTGAACTGCCTTTTCGACTCACTGAGCCAGATGCTGAGGTGAGCAGGCCATTCCTGACTCGGTGTGGGAGAGAAAGGAACTATTCTTCAGGTCCAGGGATTGTGGGGATTGGCAGAGGCTCCAGGGAGCTGCTTTAGTTTAAGAAGTTGGGCTTACTATTTCAGAATAATTCATGCTGATGGGAGGGCCGGATGGAAAGCATGTCCCTCCCATGGAATAATTCTCTTACTGAAGGAGGGCATTGGGAGGGAGCAGAATCTTCACCTCTGTGTCTACTCTTGTCATCTGCAGTGGCTCTGTCAGAGTTCTGAGCACCCTCAAGGTGCTTTCTTGGGTTTCATGCTTTACATTAGACGTAGGGAATGGGAAAGCATAAGAAAGTATCCCAGAGGAAGTGTCAGCCAGTACTTCGGGAATGGAAGCACTTCTAGTCCTTAGTTTCTTCTCTCTGTAGAACAGGAAGCATGTGCCATTTACCCTCTCCCCCTTCCCCCGGCGTCTGTTCTCCATGTGGATGGCAGCAGAAGAGATATAAGATACTTATCCTGACAGCATCCAGGGCTCTGAACTGCATTCCCCCAGCAGCTCCCAAGTGAACCCAGAACAGACAGGCATCCGGACCAGAACAGCAGGCGCTCTCAGCCCCGCAAAATCAGCAGGGCAAGTGGCTCAGATTTCCTCAGGAAGGGGATGATTTATTTCTTAGCCAGGTGAATGAATAGACTTCATTTTGGGTAACCTAGTGAAAGAGTCAAACTGACGGATGTGACAGGCCACATGCACCAACCACCGGATGGATCTGAGGCAGGCGTATGCAGACGCTGACTGTTCCCAGCCCCCTCGTTGGGTTTTTTTTTTCAGGGCCTGAGCAGAGCTGGTAAGGGAGGGGGAGGAGGGGGCACAGAGGGAGGCTTAGGAGGCTTATCAGAGCTTGAGTGCATATAGGATTTGCATTCAGTCCCTCCCTACCTTGCACCCTTTCCAGATTGAGTCTTAGCTCTGCTGTTTCCTTTTTTCCACCCACTGATGTCAGTGTTTATGTACAATGTCATGAGCAGCATCATGGTAGGCAGGAAAGAAACAGTAGCTATGGATAAATAACCCCTGAATAGTCAGAAGTTGACTGTTTTTTGCATCATTTTCCAGACTTTCCTGAACCTTACTCAGCAAACAGGAGCAGGAAGGAGTTTAGGTGATTTAACTGACAAGTCCTTCATGTTATTTACTTCTCGATTGGGTTGGTAGAGGTGTTTATTGGTCTAGTTTAGGATTTCTGGTTGAGACACTGTCCTACGATTCCTTTCCCACACGAGCTCTCGTTTTTCTCTTCTCTTGGGGACTCAGGAAAAATGTAGAAAAGCGAGCTCTGCTGGAAAACATGGAGGGGCTCTTTTTGGCTGTGGATGAGATCGTAGATGGAGGGTAAGTTCTCTGACCTACCTGGATCTGGGAAAGGGGTGGGGTAACTGCCCGTGTCCTGAGTCAGGCAGGCTGAGTGGCCAGAGGTCCTGTCCCCACAGGAAGTTGGTCCTTCAGAACAGAGGGTGCGATGATGTCTTCTTTGTCTTTGTAGCGTGATCCTGGAGAGTGATCCCCAGCAAGTGGTGCACCGGGTGGCATTAAGGGTAAGCAGAACTGTGTTTCCCAGCATCCCCCATCTCTTCACAAATGCCCTCAGAACCAGACCTGCTGAGCTTGTCTAAGAGTTGGGCTTGTAGAATACATACAACCTTCTCTTTTTCTTTCAAATCCATACAGCTCTCTTCTCTCCCCTTCCTTCTCATTATGTCACACAAGGGGAGCGAAAGAAATTTATTTCTGTCCCTAACATGGTGCCTAGTATCTCATGCATTTAATACATACTTACTTACTGAATAAATGATGAAATAAAAGAAACTCTAATATTCATGGTTTCGAAACTGTAAAGGAACTCGAAGTTGGCTTATTCCCTCTTTGGAGATGGATCGAATCATCTGAGCCAAAGGAGTGTCCTTCTCGTCTTTTCAAGTCTTATATAACTGAGGATAATTCCTCTCCCTCAGGAAGTACTTACTTGTCAGGATCTCAGTCTTCTTGGTGCTAATGATATCAGAAAGGGGCCTCTGAGTTAGCTATAGCTGGTGGGAGAGCCCACCAGCACATTGTGGGGGTGCAGAGATGTCTGAGTAAAGCAAGTCTCCCATTTACAAAATGTCCTGGCTCTGACCTCCACAGAGTGAAGGCTGACAGTGCCGGGTAATGGGAAATCTTCTCCCTTAACTGCTGTGGGCTCCATTTGCATAGTTTAATCTTCTCCTCTAACATATGTCTCTATGTGGCAAGAGAGAGGGCCCCCCCCAACTCCCCCTTTCTCTTCTCAGGCTGCTGTTGCAGCAGTTTATTTCTTCAAATTAACATGCTGTCGTTACCCATCAGGCCTTGCGGAATCCATTAAACTACCCCTGGCTCCCCCCCATTCTTTCCCTAGTGATATTGATATTCAGGGAAGGTCTTCTCTGACTAGGGAATCAGGTCCCCCACCCCCAAGTTGAGGATCAGATAACCTGCTGATTACTTGGAATGGAGTAAACCTTTTTTTTTTTTTGAGTCACCCAGACTGGAGTGCAATGGCTGCTCCCGGCCACCGCAGCCTTAACCTGCTGGGCTCCGGCGATCCTTCTGCCTCAGCCTTCCGAGTAGCTGGAACTACAGACGCGCACTACCACGCCCGGCTAATTTTTGATTTTTTTGTTGTAGAGATGAGGTCTCATCAAGTTGCCCAGATGGGTCTTGAACCCGTGGGCTCAGGCAATCCACTCCCCTTGGCCTCCCAAAGTGCTGGGATTACAGGCTGAGCCACCGAACCCGGCAGGAGTAAACCTTTTAACAAGTCCTCCTGCCATAAAATGGAGGATGGGTGAAATGACCCTTTTTTGTTCACAGTCCCTCTGGCCAAGTAAAATTATAGCTGCACTAGTCCCTAGAAGGGACTGGGACATGTAGTGCCTCTGCCCTTTGCTTCGGTTTAAAGGATCACCTTTTCCCTCTCTACTGCCAGACTCCAGCCAGGCCTTCCTCCAGCTTTCTCCCACACTAAATGCTTGTCTCTGTGTCACAGGGTGAAGACGTCCCCCTTACAGAGCAGACTGTGTCTCAGGTATGACTTTCTCCCTTTCTTCTCTTCAGGTGGGCTGGGTCACTAAGAGGCTAGAGTAGCTTTCCGCCCCTACCTGCTGAGTCTGAGATGAGAGACATGACCCGTCTTCTTTGGCTCCTCTCATTCTAGAGAACTGGGCCTTACACAGCCAAGGCTCCCACCCCACTCCCAAGTCCTCTCCTAGTGTCCCGTGAGTAGTGGCTGTCAGCTTTGCTCCATACCCTTCAGGCTCTCCCTGCCTGAGTTTCATTCCATGATTTATTCCCCAGCAGAGGCCTGCCTTAAGCAGATGGGCTGTGTGCGTGTGTCTGCGCGTACTCTCTCTCTTTCTCTTATTATTCAAATGAGGGCTAAGCTGGAAATGCATATTCCAGAAGATGCAGGCTTCACAGATCCATCTTGCTACCTTGACTGCAGATAGACTGTCTACCTGATGCCAGGAGCAAGGGAGGGGTTCTGTCTTCTGTCCACTTGGAAATCTTGCCAAGAAATCTGTCTGGATGGGGTACTCCCACTTTTTAACATATGTCCAGTAACTCCCAGTTTTTTTCTTTCCTCCCCGGTATACCTCTTCTCTCTTCATTCCCAGTGGATTTGAATTTTGGGGGCCTTTTCCAAACTGATAATCCTCTAGGGCCTTAGAGAGCTTCCCATCCTTCTGCCCTTGGGGATTTCCTATTCCCTATTCTTCTGAGGACAGGGAAGGCAGGTGAGGGGAAGGAGCCCCCCTACCCCTGCCCCCCGACCCTCAGTGAGCTCCCCTCAGTGTCCCCTTTTCTCTGCAGGTGCTGCAGTCAGCCAAGGAGCAGATCAAGTGGTCACTCCTCCGGTGAAGACCCAGCTCCTCCTGGCTTCTCACCCTCCTCAGAAAGTCCATATGTCTGCTGTGAATCTCATCCAGTTCCCCAGCTGATGCTCTCAGGGTCCTCTCGGGGGTCACAGGGTCCTTCTACCCTGTCCTGCCTGTGGTTGTTCCCTCCCAGCCCCCACACACACTTCCCATTCCATTCACTGCTTGCAGTTCTGGGTGTAAAGATCCCAGCGGATTTGGGTGTCAGGCAGGGGAAGCACCCTCTCCAGATTGGATTGTGCCCTTTTGTTCTCCCTCCGCCGGGTTTTCTCATGTTCTATGCCCTATGCTACACTTCAGATCAAAGTGGGAGATAGACTGTGCCGAATGTGTTCCCCCCTTTGCTCTTACCCACCCTCATCCCTACCACCTACATGTCCAGAAAGGGAGGGGGAAAGATTCTTGGCTGTGAATGAGTTCTATGGGGATGGGGAGGGATGTGTTCATTCGCCGCCGCAGCCCGTGTTCTGGCCTCAGCGTTTCCTCCCATTCCTTCCTACTGCTCTGTTCTCTGCCAGATTAGGAATCACTCATAGGGCAGGGACAGCGGAAGAAACAGTGATCTAAATTTTAATGGAAGGGCTTATAAATTTCGTTCTCTACCTGGTTCTGGCACGTCACTTTGGAACTGCTGTGGTGCATGTCCATCTCGTGGCCACCTTGGCTCCTACCTTTACTACTGTGGGTCTTTGCCTGGTTTGCCCTCTCTGTGGCCTGGAGCAAAGCCAGGCCCTGGAACTAAAACTCCAATCTAGCCTTGGGAAGAAGAGTTACCCTCGAAATTGGAGAAGGGGTAGAACCCAGACTTAGGCCTCCAGGCTCTCTCCCGGCCCCCTCAGCTCCCACATGCTCTTCTGCTGAGGGTCTGAGTGTGCTGCTTACCCCTGTCCTCTCCACCTCCACCTTCCATCCAAGCAGTGGGTCTGGGTTCTTACCCTCTCGAGACTACTGAGAGAGGTGCCTTCCTTATAAACCTTTAGGACTTGGATTTCTCCAGGAAGATGGAGACTAGAACACCCACTCATGGGTTTAATCTTTCCCTTTGACCCAAAACTTTCTCCCCACAAAAATGTCTTAAAAACCTTCCTGAGACTTAAGCACTCTGCCCTGCCCACTAACTGCCAATTCTCCAGTACTGAAGTGGGGCGGGTAACTGGGCATGTCTGCGGGGCATCCTTGTGTGAGAGATGTGTGGGGTCAGGAGATGGCCACCTTCGTAGGCTGCTCTGTGCAAAGAATAAAAGAGGTTTCTTTTTCCAAACTGCCTTTGTGTGATGTTTCTGTTTCTGTTCCTCTCCTCTCTTTTTGGCAGCTAATCCAATTCCTCCGCCCCCCATCTTATAGTATGTCTTCCCTCCTACCTCAGAGACTCCCAGCAGTCCCCCCATCCCTAATTTACGGGACTGTTTGCCTCCTTGGCATCTCTCGTCCCCTCGCTTGGAAATTGGCGCCAGGGGTGGGGTGGGGATGGTATTTTCTTAGCGGGAGTCCCAGGGAACTGAGTTCTCCCCCACCACCCCCAAAGCCAGCTGCCTGCTCCCGCCTCAGCCATTAGTAACCCGGAGACACGCACCTGCGTGGGGGCTCTCCTCCAGCCCCTGCTCCCTTCCTGCACCTCCCACTCCTGCTCTGAAACGGCGCTGAGCGGGTTATTTATCGGAGCCAGTGCTGCTCCAGAAGGTCAGGACGGTGGTGTAAATAACCTCTTCTCGCCATTTCCCCGTCCCTCCAGAGCCCGCTCCCCTCCCCCTCCTCCACCTTTATTCGCACAAATGAATGTGGCTGGGCTGGCGCAGCGCCTGGCCCTGCATCTTAATGGGGCGGTGAGCTCACAAGATGGATTTAGCTGGGGGTTTTATGGTTGCCGCGGCGACAGGAGAATGCTTTGGTTTTCTTTCCCCCTTCCTCTGCAGGATTTGGGGGGGGACGGGGAGCCTTCTCTCCACTGCAGGGTCTCCTCACTCACCTCTATTGCTCATAAAGTGGGCCTGCAATTCCAGGAGTAAGCAGGAGAGACTGAATTAGGATCTCGGACAGGAGAGGATGAGGGAAGGAAAGTAACAGGCTCCTGAGCATCTCCAGCACCAGGAAGCCCAACTCAGAGCTGTCCAGTCTTACTGCTCTTTCTTGAGAACCTGACAAGCTCAGCAACTCCTGTGCCCAGGACGCCCCTCAACAGATTGGGAAGGGGGAGGCCTGGGTGCACCACCTCTGCCTACAGTCCTGCAATGAAAGTGCAGGAGTTTGGAGGAGGGCGAGGTGTACCTTTTTGTCTCCACAGGCTGAGCTGGGGAAGAGCCGTGCCCAGCCAACCTTACCACTAATCCTCCCACTCATCACCCAGCATTGGCCATGGGAGAAGTGTGGTGTCAGTGCCCGAGTTGGGGGGGCGGTGACCAGTAATGCTGTGGAGAGTGGAGTTGTGTCCCATTCTCAAACTTGGGATTCTCTGAGCTTTGGTTTCCCTGGCCTAGCCCCGGTTTGGACCTCTCCTACCTTCCATTTTCCGGCAGGAATGGAACTTTGGTGTCCTGGCCTACCCAGTCCTCTGGCCAGCAATTTCTTTTTGGAACTATGGGCAGACCCATCCCCAGCACTGACTGAAGCAGAGATGTAGAGAAGTTCTGATTATCCCTCTCCCTTGGTCTCTTTCTGTCTGTGTGAGCCTTTCCCTCTTCCCAGGAGACCCAGGAGGCCCCTCCTCGCCCCTCCCTCCTGCCTCCCCTTTGGCTGGGAAAGTGACTAGAGCCCGAACAGTGCCAGACACCTGCCTGCCAGATGTGGCGATTCCCCATTCTCCCTCCCCATGTCTATTCTTTCCCCACCCCACTGAGCTCAGGCAGAGGGAGCCCCCCCACAGGGTGATTTACTGCTGCAGCCTCTCTTCCTCCAGTGCCCCCTCCGGCTGCTCTCCCTCCCCCTGGTGCCTGGGGGGCCCCTCTTTTCCCACCATATCCTGCAGCCACCTTCCCGTGCAGCCTCCTCCCACTCCAGGGTGCTGGGCTGTGTAAACCCCAGCTCCCCCTGCTGAGAACGAATGCGTGGGGCAAGGGTGACGGGCCTGTTTCACCCATGGGAGAGTACATCAGCAACAGGGCCGAGGACAGTGGCAGCCAGAGCTGATGTCATTCTCACTGGGGAGGAAGGGGGAGGTGAGTGGGGAGGGAACCAGTAAGCCAAGACTGTCTACAGAGGAGGAAAAGGTCTCTGAGAAAACTTCCTAGGTAGACAGAGAATGCAGAATACGGCTGCCTAGTGGACGGTGCATCTTTGGTGCTGGGGTGAGGGGTCTCCAGACCTTGTCTCTGAATCTGTGTCTCTGTATAACTCAGTAGCTGCCCCTCGGCTCCTCCCCTTCACGGTGACCCAAAACACACACGTAGGGTGCCCTAAGTCCTCCCGCTTCTCTTGCTTCTCTTCAGTGTCGGCCCTTCTGTGTCTTTTCCTTATCAATCCCTTGCCCCCCCCAGTTGTGTTTCTCTCTCCCCACCCCCATGCTGTGTTAAGCCAATGTGATGCCCATGCCTCCCACCCAGCAGGGACTCATTCAGAGCCTCTTTTTTCCTTCCCACCCCTCCTCACAACTTGACTCCCAAAGGTCCCCCAGGCCAGAAGAGGGTTCAAGGTAGGAGGGACTGCTGGACCTAGTCAGGAGAGAGGGAGGGTCCAAGGAAGTAGAGGAGGGAGGAGGAAGGGCACAAGAAGAGGAAAGAAACACATGAGAGGGGGAAAGTGACTGAGAGACAAAAAGGCGAGAGTTAGCAGAAAGGGAGGATAGCAAACTGGGAGAGGGAGAGACAAAGAGAGAAGAATGAGAGCCCAGAAGAATGGAGAGATGGAGACAGGAAAGTCCCAGCAAGAGAAGGCCGCTGGGGAGGGGCCAGGCAAGGGGCAGCAGGGCTCTCCTGGACTCCCTCATGCTATAGGGCCATAAATCCTGTGTGAGTGTGTGTGTGTGTGTGTGTGTGTGTGTGTGTGTGTGTGTGTGCGCGCGCGTGCGTGTTCACAGCCCACATGTGTAGGGGTCTGTGGGAGGGACGGGATGATTCCCACAATATTATTCTCACATTCCCATCGCAGCCTCTTTCCTCGAGGCACCCCACGCTAAGCCCCCAGCTCCCCCCATTCCTGATGCTCAGGGGGGCACTCTGACAGTATTTCCACTTCTCAGGAATCCTGGCTTGTTCACTTGGAATGCAGGCCTGCTGGAATGTCCAGGGTCTGAGACTCAAGAGGCCCGACCCCTCACTGCCCACCCCCATGCCTGCCCACCAGCTGCTCCTGTCCATCTTCTCCTCCCACTCTCCTTGTATCTCCCCCTCCTCCACCCTGACCCCTCCCCCAGCCTCTGACCCCCAGGCTGCCTGAGGCCTGGGTCAGAGGGGAGACAAAGATAGGATTTATCACCAGTATTGAGAAGCAGCCAGAGACCAGGGCTGAGGGCAGTGGCTGACCTCCCTGGGCTGGGAGGGAGCATGAGGCCGGATGCTGGGAGGCTGGAAGCCTGGGTTCCAGGGGCTTCTGCTCACCATCCCCTTCTCCCACACGACCCCCTTTTCCCATTCCAGGCTTGCTCTCTCTCCCTTGTCTCTGAAGACTTAGAGCACAGAGAAGAGGATGACCCTGGGGTGACTTTAGGCCTCTGAAGGAACACCTGGGAGGAGGGTAGAGATGAGATTGGTGTATTAGGGTTATTCTCTTGTGGGTATGGAAACCAGAGGCAACCAGGCACCAAGTGTTTCCAGGACTAGGAAGAAGACAGAAAGCGAGGGGCTTCCACGCACAGGACCTGGCTTCCTACAGGGAGAGAAATAAGGGCGGTAATGGGTCCTGACAGATGGGAGGCCGAGTCCTACCTGAAAGTGAAGAACGAAATGGAGCTTGCCAAGGGTTAATTCCAGCTCTAGCCCCTCTGAGAAAGCCTTCCTCCCTGAGACCCCCGGCTCCCTCCTGAGAGGTTCAAGGAGCGGCTGGACCCTGCCTTTACAGTAAATAGACTATTGGCCTGAAATTGTCTCTACTCAGCAGACAGGGTGTGTGCTAAGGCAAAGGAACGGTGGATCCAGGAGTTTCCGAGAAGCCAGCCTGTATATCTTTCTGGTGGACAGCTCCCGTGGCTTCCTGAGCACCCCTGGAGGCTCACCACCAGCCCCCCCAAAGCGCACTGTCACAGGCTGCCACCAATGCAACTCTGCAGCTCTGGTGCCCTTTCCAGCCCAGCCCCTGGCATCCAGTATCCTGCTTCCTGCCTTCACCCTACTGCCCTGGGAGAAGGCTGCTTGTTGTCTCCAAGAGAGAAGAGGGAGGAAGGGAGTGTCCAGTCCATCAGTCTCTCACCCCAATCCTACCAATCCATTCCCACTTGGGTCAGGTAAGGGGGAACTCCTGTGCTCTCTCTCAAACTCCTCTGCAAGCCAAAACCATTCTCCTTCATTTCTGATGGAAACCCTAAAGTTGGAGATTTTGGTGGGAAGGGGTCACGGATTAGGAGGAGGGATCAGGAGAGGACAAAAGAATGAGGGGGGGGGTGGCGCCGGGTAAGGAAGAAACAGGAAAAGGGAGAAGAGAGTATGTCTTTTTTCCTCATTCCCCCTTCCCCCCGCCGAGGAGGCAGATTTACAGCCTCGGTTTGGGGGGGGGTGAGCATAAGGAAGACAGATCTGCAGTGCTGCCCTCTGAGTGTCTGGGTACTTAGCTCTAGCTCCCCCATTAGCATCAATCCCCATCTTGCTGCCCATCCGTCTTCTGACATCAGCTCCTTCCCCTCTCTGTAGCCCAGGCTTTCTGACCCTAAGTGGCTCTTAAAGGGCCAGTCTAGACCCTTCTCTCCCTCTCCCTCCCACTCCAGGCAGCAGCCTGGTGTGTGTACGCATGTGCACATGTGCACAGTGGCCATCCTGGCTCTGGCCACAGTGGATGGAGGGCATGAGGCAAGGTGGGGTGGGGGGGGCTCTTTGCCTCCCTTAGGCCTCCCTAACTCATGGATCCCCATCTTTGTTCGCTACCTA